CCTGGTGTTTCTTGGTATGTATCAGTGGCTATCATTATTTGGCTTTACATTTCTGTACACAATTCATTCTTAACTAGCTTAGATTACTTGAAAAAAGGGACTCTGAACCCAGAACTGTATTGCTGCACTTAGCAGTGCCTTAAAATTTCTTTATGCAGTATTACTATGTATAATATAAATAAGCATAGTTAATGTTATCATCGTATTACTTTATAATATATTATGTCTATACTATTAAAAATAATATAGTTCACTAATATATTATTGTCTTAATGTACCATTGTTATAACAAAACTTAAAAATTATCAAGGATATGTCAGGCAATATTATTATTGCCATTATTTCCTTGGCTTCCAGTAGGCATGACTTCTAAATAAGTGGATTTTTTAAAGAAAAGTATTAAGGAATGAAGGCAGAAAGGCAAAAAGTAGAAAGAATAAGTCAACAAATCAATAAAGAACAGGTTAGGTACTTGATAAGCTTGTTATAGAATGAGCCCAGTGTTTTAAAAAAAATAAACATAACATCTTTGCGTTTCTGAGTTGACTACTCAGAACAAACGTATCATAAAAGAGTATGCCTGCCATAACTCCTCTTAATCTCATTCTGTGGTATACATTACATTGCAAAATAATCAAGAAAATAACAGGGATAACAAGGTCTTCATAAATACTAGTTATGGAACATCTGCAAGTTAATATACTTGCATCCAGTGTATTTTTAACATGAGGTTGTCCTGTGGTCCTGTCAGTGAGAAATCATGAGAAATTGTGAAGTCTGTTTGAGGATTAGTAGGGAGCTATTATGCTGACTATGGAGCCAAAAAAACTATTGAGACTCAGTGAAAACAGTCACTTGACCTTGGTGTTTGGTGTCTGGGGTTGGTTCTGGCTGGAAAATATCCACTGACCACATCATCTCCTAACAGCAGGTTGAAGCAGCTCAGAACTGTCACTTCTGTTGTGTCACTGAATGATTTTGCCTCAGAAAAAAAATTATTCATAAATAAGTATGCCCTGACTTCAGATTTGGAGGAATTAGTTAGACTAAGAAACAGCACAAAGACTTGTTCTACTTAACAAATTGGCCATCAGTAGGCTGGAGGGTAGAACATTTAACTCAATCATTTCTGACTCTATTAATTGCTTGAGTAGTATTTTGGCTATGACCTATGAACCATCATTTCCAGGCAAGGGCTGAGCACCTGGTCTTCGGTTAAAGAGGCTTCAGCACTTCATTCATAATCATAAATCACACACCTACACCCGTGTTATCAGGAAAAAATTAGGAATAGACTAATTTTAGGAAATGGTAGAAATCTACTGAGGAACTGCTCATGTTCCAGTGACCTAAATGTTTACAGTTTTGTTGCTTTAAAAAAAAACCTTACCATCAAGATGTTTTTGCTATTCTTTTGCTTTTTTTCTCAAGAATTTTAAAGTTACTTACCAAATCTGAAGCCAAGAAGCTCTTCACTGATTAAGTTGAATTTCAGCCTCTGAGCTTTTGCTTAAACAGTAACAATGAGAATTACATGAAGCTCCAGGTCCCTAGGCATTTTATTCTCTTATAGAAAATTGTCTGGATTCAGGTGTATGGTTGATTTGTTACCCTCTCTGAAGTGTGAGATATAACTGGTACTTTGTAAAAGGCTCTAAATTGAGGACATTACTGAACATCATTAACTTCAAATGATCTGAATTCTCAGATATTTTAACTTTAGTAGTGGTACCTTAGAAAATGCCAGGGTAAAAGTGGCTCTGTAACTTTTTTTCCCCCCTCAACATTACATGGATTGGGTTAATGCGTGGTAAACTGGTTTATAATACCAGACTTGTACTTAGGCTTACCCAACCGTGTTTATGTTGAGGTGGGGGAGGGTAGACTGAATTGAAAGGATAGATGCTGAATCTTAAGTGGTGATTGCAATGAAAACAAAATGAGCCTAAACTAAACAAAAATACTCTGCATGGAGCATTTTATAAAGAAAGGCACTAGGAGACAAAAAAAATGGATGAGAGGCATTCAGAAAGTAAAGATGGGAAAGACATTTGACCAGACATCGGGGTGTCGCTTGTCAACCATAACACTTACCAGGCTGACTTGGTTTCTGCTTCCACATCCCTCCCCTAACCCCCAGGAATGCCTGAAGTATTTGCTTCCCTGTAACTCAAGTAGAAGGTCAGGTTCAGTTATCATATCCTGCCTTAAGCTGCTTTTTGATAAGATTAGAGAAGATACTTATTCATCACCTAGAATGTGCTAGGCCTTGTGCTTGGTGCTAATAAAAATAGTTGGATTTCTCTCTCAGTACCACTACAGGATAGCCAGTGTCAGATTCCTTTTCAGATAAAGAGTATGTAATCCATAAAAGTGAATGCTTAAGATCACATAGGAGTTCCTATGTAAAGACTGTCAAAAATATAATAAAAAAATTTAAAAAAAAGATCACATAGGAGTTCAACGTAAGAACATGAGACAATCCCAATGATACCCTGAACCCTAAATCTGTAGCTGTTATTTCAGCTTGTTCCCTTACTTGGCTATTAATACCACCTTTTTTTTTTTTTTTGAGGTAGACTTTTGTCTCCATAATATAGCCCTGAGGAAATGATGATAAAATGCATCCATAAAAGACATTGACTTAGGGAATTACCTATTGTCCTTCACTCATCTTTTGGACAGCTGTGTGCCTCATGCTGAAGCTTCATGAGCAGCTTCTCTGTCTCATGTTGAATAATGATCTCATCTTGTCCTTTTTAAAAAACTTTTAACCTTAAATTCTATTTGAAGCTTATCCTACTTGGTGCATTTTCATTTATTCCCTCAACAGAGAAATAATTCTGTGTGGATTAATTTTGCAAGGATATCTAACATTATGTGCTGACTATTATCTATTCAGTTGATGTACTGTTTTAAATTTATTTCTCTTCTAAAAAAGGAGTAACTTCTTTGTCCCTCGGCCTTCGACATCTCTCCTGTCTCAGACACAAGTGATTGGCTTGAAAATCACAGTTCTGAAATAGAGCAGGCCTATCCATAATGCCCATTAATGCAGTGTCCTCCAGCCGGACAGCATCATTTATAACCTGAGAGTGAAGCTGGGACAGCTCCATATCTGCAGCTTCAGTTCACCCATTTATGCAGCCAGAGCAAATGATTCCGGCAGTCAGAAATCTCCCAAGGAGCAGCAAATACACAAAAGGAAGAAATAGATGTGGATAGAGGTGTTCTTATAATGAAAATCAGACCAAAGAGGGTACAGACAACTGCGAAAAAAAAACTAGATAAAACACTCAGGTCAAATGATGATTTAATATCTATAGAATCAGAGAGAAACAAGTGCCCCATATGGTTTTGATGACAGCATTCTAAAGTGGCTTAGACTTCCTCACACTACTTGGAATTCATGGTGGACTTACTTCTAAACCAACAAGGGGTTTATACAAAATAAGTGCTTGGTGAATTTTATGAATTAATGAAGGTGATGGATTGAGCAGTAGACAGGCTACTGACTAGTGGGCTTTTCAGTAGGGAACCACACAGAAAGGAGAAGCCATCACTCATCTGACAAGGGAAAGGATCCTGTGGAATTGAAGAAACATAAAAACCAATGCTTTCTTTGGCTTCATGGCACAATACACTGGCACATGCCAGAAAAGTCATGAGTAACTGCAGCATTTGCTAGAATACAAAGAGAGGGGAATGTTAAGGAGATTTTAATTACAAACAACTAGGTGTCTGCTAATTTCTTGAGGGAAAATGTTTAGATCTTTGATCTCTTCAGCTGATGCATAATTTCCCAGGCTCTTGGTGAAGGCTTCAGTTTTCATAGTAAATGGACCCACCTACTGAGCCCGAGTAAGAAAAGTAAAACAGATAAACATATGAAAATGTAATTAGGAAAAACCTTTGCATCTCAATTTTGCAATAAAGTTCCTGTGAAATTTCATTAGAAATAAATAAAAACATTTTACCTGCTGTGAAATGGGACGTTCCAACTTTGTAATTTTACTCATGACATACAGTAAGTAAAAATACTGCAATGTCTGCAAAGATAAGGGGTGTTGATATATATTGACATATTGTTTTACATTGACATTTATATTAGCGAAGAAAGTTAATATAGTTTTCAGACATGTAATGTGTTAAAAATTGATTTAGGAGAAAAAAGATGTAATCCCAAAGACAAGGAAGTTATTGTGAAAAACCAAATGACAGAGATTAATAGTCCTCAAGTTTTAAAAACAGAAAAATTGGATAGTAAATGCAAATGGATTAAAGCTTTTGTCTTGTTTCAGAGTTCTGATAAGTTTGAAAAATGTGTTTATTTTCAATTTAAGAGAAACCAGCAGAAATGGCAAAGATTATGTAATTTTGAAAGTAGTAAAGAAAAATAATTAAATGTTTTCAATCCAGTGAAATACTGAATTAGAAAGTTAAAGCAAAGTTGAATGGACAGCCAAAAAAAAATCACGAATCCCAGGAAATATACTCAGATTATATTTTTCCACAAAAATACTGAGTTTTAAATGACGCATTTGCCAATAAGCACTGCAAAGAAAATTATGCAAAAATCTATGCAAGAAAAAAAAGACAAAATCCCAGCAGGAAAAACTGTAAAAAAAATTGAAAGAGTGGAGAAGAAAGACAATGGAAGAAAATTCTATATCTTCATTGCCTTTTATAAGATTGGTTGCTATTTTTCTGAGCAGGATACCTATTATGATTGCATAATAGTTTGGATGCCTTCCCCCATTCCCTAATGCTCATGTTCTGGATTCTTTGTACCCAAAGTCATGTGTTATTCCTTAATGCGTTAATGGGTTACGGGTGGATACTTGATTGGATGTGTGATATCCAGGAGGGCACCCTGTGAGATGCCTCGAGACAACCGGGAATCTTGCCTTTGGAAGGTAGCTTTTTATACAAGCTTAGCTAGCTTGTTGTCTCTCTTTGCCACAGTCTCATCATGTGTTTCTCCTTCTGCCATTCTCTAGCTTCCCTAGACGCCTAAAACAATCAGGCAGCAGATCTTTCTGGACCTCCAAACTGTGAGTTGAAATGTACTTTTTTTTTTCTTTCTTAAAAAGGTCCTTTCAAATATTTTAGTCATTGTGACAATACATTAACTAATACAGAAAACTGACATTAAAGAATTGAGTCAACACTTCTAACCATGTTTGCAGATGTGGAAGAGTCTGGAATGGGTAATAAACAGGCTTAATATTAAAGGTTGGAAGAGTCTGGTGGGCCAAGCTAGAGAAGGCCTGGAAGATTATTAGAATGCTGTGTCAGTAGTTCTGAGGAGAACGCCTAAGACCCAAATGAGGGTTTAAATATGGACAGAGAAGGTCATGCTGGTGAAGTTGTAAATGGTTCATTTTATTGTGAATAGGGTTGAAGGTCACCCCTGTTTACATGTGGTAAATAAAAACTGGCTTTGTTTCTATTCTTGTGTTCAGTGTTTCTGAGAGGCTGGGATGAAATGTGCTGGACTGGTTTCATTCATGGCGGAAATGTGAGTGCAGCAAAGCGTTCAGTTTGCACCATGGATGTGCAGTGGCTGTTTTCCTTAAGTGTTGCAGAGAACACCAGGAGTGGAAAACAAGTGCAGAGGGGAAATTCTGCAAAATTTGCAGCCTAGCCAGGGAAAGAAGGAAGAGAAAGCTTTGGGGAAAGAAAGTAAGACTGAGAATCCATAACACAAGGCCGTATGTTGATGAGCAATGTAGTGGAGAAACGTCCTGAGAGGCATTTCCCTGATCTTCAAAACTGCCCTTCCCATCACAAACGCAGAAGCCTGCAAAGGCACAATTCTGTCCTGAGTCCACAGGGTGCTGTAAGTGAGCCAGCACGTGACCACCTCAGGATTGCCTCTGACATGCACTCTGTGGGTTTAAACCGGAACCAGCAAGGTCCCTGCTGGCAACAGTGCTTGTGGTGTTTCTGTGATGCTGGTGCGGCACGTGTGTCATGTAGAAGCTTGGGCGTCATGAAATCTGGTCATGAAAAGCCTGAAAGGCCAGGTGGAGTTGAGCCACTGCATTGGAGCCTGACTGTGAAGCCACAGGTGAAGCCCTACAAAGGTAGTGATAGCAGCCATATGAGATACATTCTGGAAAATGGCAGGTAGGAGATCAGGAACGCGGTAGAGACCAATGCAGAGTCCATAAACCAACAAAGACATGGGCTGATTCACCTAGATGTCTAAGAGTCAGTTCTTACTGATGCTATGGACATGAGTGATGAGAAATGAAGCTTTAGCTGCAGCAATAAGGTTGTAGGTATGGTTAGATGTCAAAGCTTTGGGGTTGTCCAGTGCCCAACACAATGTACCTGGGGATGCCATACTTAGATCTTTAGGAATGAATATTTGCCTTTCTGTTTTTGTTTGTTGTTTTAGTCTGGCTTTGGCTTGCTTTGTTCTTTATTTTCTTACCTTCCTTGTTTGGAATGGCAATGCATTTTTTGTGGCAGTCCTGCTATTGTATCTTGGAAGAATGCCATTTGATTTCGATTGTCTTGATTGCTTTGACTCTAACATAAGAATTTGCACTTTTGAAAAATGCTGCAACATTAAGACACCGGGATTCTTGGAAATAGAAGGAAGACATATTGCACTGTAAGAGGGGAATGAATGTTTGGGTGCCATGAGGGAAATGTTATGGTTTGGATGATAATTGGATGCCTTCCAAAAGCCACAGATAGGTGACTGATTTCTAAAGTTAATGATTAACAGTGAAGGTGAACTGATTATGATATGCATGAGGTAGGCTTAGTGAGAGATTTTTAAGTCTGTGGTAATGAGACTTCAGAAGGCATTTCTCATGAGAGCTTCAGACGGATAAGCAAATTCTGTCTAGTTTTGTGTCTCTACTTCCTGGATGTCCATGCGCTCCTCCATCTATATACCTTTACCATCACTCATTCAGTGACGGCTGTGAGAATTGTAATGAAATGATGCTCTTGATAGAGGCTATAAGCAGAAGTGAAAGGACTTCAGGACTCGCTGGCAGCTTGCAATGTGGAAGGGATCTAGGCAGGCTCCCAGGTTTCCAGTTTTGATGATCCAGAACAGAAAAGAGTGGAGATATCTAAGGGTGTTGATCCTATTTCTAGGTTGGCAGATGAGAGGTGCCTAGAGATGGTATAATGAGGTTCACATTGGATTTGCTTAGTCAGTTTCGTGTACATCTGGAAAGCAGTTGAGAGACTCAGGTAACAGATTTTTAGGATGTTTTTGCCATAGGTGAAGTAATTGGAGCTCAGCCTTTACTGATACCCAAAGAGATCCTGAAGTCATGGACCCAAAGTTTGGGACACAAACTTTGACACGATACATGGTGCTAAAATGTGGAAATGTGTTACACACGGAGGCTGACTAGTGCAAGACAGTCAGATATCACAGAGAAATCAGGCAGGACGAATAAGGTGGGAAAGGGTGACATCCAAATGGATTGTTGTAAAATGTCTGAAAATTTTGTAGGTGGTCCTCAAAACTGGTTTGCTATTGGTGTTTGGGGGCTATAGGAACTGAACTGCTCCATGACCTGCAAGAATGAAACAGTCACATCTGGTAATTGTCCTGGGAAAAATGATAGTAGCACTCCAATGAGGAGACAGAGAATGATGTCTTTGCTCAGTAGGGGTCCAGGACAGTGAATGGCAGGTGCATTGGGTGTGATTATAACAGCGAAGGAGGGATGGGCCGGAAAGGTCCTGAAATTCATGGCTGGTATATTAAACTCCATAATATTACAATTAAATTAAGAATGTATGACTGATAATGGATAGAATTTATTTCAGACAGCCTCCTCAGGCTAAGCCATTGTGGAGTAATATTGAAAGGACTGGGACTATTTAAAGAGAAGGGGAAAAAGTAAAGAAGAAGAATGACAAACTTCAATGAACATACTACTCTCTTTAATAATAAAAATGTTTTGTCACCATTTAACATTTATTGAGCTATGTGTTAGCCATTGTGCAATGTGTATGTCCACATTTGACCCGTTTTCTCTTGCATCTTAATTTTGTAAGGCACTGCTATTTTTGCTGTATGAAAACCTTGGAATCATTTGCCATCTTTAATTTGCTGTGAGCACCTGAAATAAACACGTACTGATATTTTTGGCATTCTGCAGATAATAGCACTGTATGAATCTTCAAACAGAAAGGTGAAGGCTGTCCATAACCTGTCGAGTACAGGATAATGCCTTCAAAGCGATGCATTCTTTGCTTGTTTAGACCTGATGAAAATGCTTTGCTAGCTGAAGTTCATAGCCAGGAAAATGGCCTGTGCTCTGAAGTAAAAATCTATATAGACATGAAGTTGAAAGCAGTTATGAAGGGATGACGGGTCAGTAATTAATATAGTTTGTTTCTTTTTCTTAAAAAATATAGCTGTCTCCTTTTTCTCTCTTTGTAAAACATGTCAGTTTTAAAGAAACCTGCACTAAACAGGTTTTGACTCTGAGCTATCACAATCAGATTGTTTGCGAATGTAAGCTATTGATCTCTGTGTAATAAAAAGGTCTTTTGCCAAGTAAAATAGCAACCCAAAGCACTGTCTCTTGGTATTCACAGACATCACAGTTGGGCTGCTGAGCAAAAATTTCCCCCTTTGTCTTTTCCCAGCAGCAAGTGTATCTGAGCGCTAGATGGGATTTCTTGTAGTTGAGCCATAAAGATGCTAGTTGGGCCAAGTACAATGAACTCTAATACAAAACACTGCACGGCAAATGCTTTCTCTGATTCCTACAAGAGTATTCCCAATTGTATGTAGCTGTACTGTAGGGAAGAGAAAGAAAGGATAAGGTCAGAGTCTCATACCTGCCAGCAGAAACCTTTGGTCATAATTTGCTCTTCAACTTCACTCACTGTCTCAAAGGTCTTGATTATTTTTATGAGAAAAAAATTCTTCCATGCATTCAAATTGACCACTAGATTGAAATGCCACGTGAAAAGGACCATGGAATTAAAGAAGTGCAAAACATATACTGAATGAAGCAACATCTTACTGCCTTTGTAGTTGATTTTTTTTTTTAATTTGGTAATATATTACCTAGTGACAAGAGATCCTAAAAGTACACAATTGAGTGATTGGCTAATAATGAGGCTGTTGACAATCTGATCATATATTCTGCCATGTAACGTTTAAATTTTTTTCCTGGGATGACTTGGCTAATTACTGAATTGAAGAGTCAAACCAAGATGTCATTTCCCTGATTTTTACATAGTCACAGAAAATATATTATGACAGAGACTTGCTGTTGAGGGAGTCCACTACAACTGAAAAATGTTAATTTCAATGTCTTGAAAATATGATTTGAATGGATTCTGTAGGGTGAGGGTGGATAAAGCTAGGCCAGTAAAGATAATTGGTTGGTAAGTGTCAACAGGAGAAAGTATAGCTGAGAAGCAGGTATTGTAAATTAATTCCACGTATTGCTCCACCAAGATCAAGTGTCATGTTGAGAGGTTGATTTGAAAGGTGGCTGTTGGATATGTGAAGGAAAATTGCTGAGCTTTTATCCTTTGACTCTGTGGAATTTTGTAGGTATATCTGCTAGCTTTCAGGAAGGTACTCAAGTTTTGTGATGGCTCTTGTGGCTTATGATTGCACACTTTGTATGGCAATAATAATGATGGTAAAATGACTACATAGTAAGCACTTTACATACAAGAATTTATTTAATTTTCCAAGCCCTCTGAGGCAGGTTTTAGCATCACTCTCAGCAAGGATGTTGCTTTCTCAAGGTTGCATAGCTGTTTATTAAATAGATCAGCTCGTTTCTGGGACACTTACAATAAAAAAGGAACGATATAAGCAAATCCAATAAGAGGTTATAAACCAGAAGGATAATTGGGCTTTAGGGAATGGATGAAGTCAGTGAAGCCAAGAAGCAGAACCATAGCAATAAGTATATAGACAGAATGTCTCAAACAAACCAACCATTCTAGGTGCCGATGCCACAGTGCAAGAATACAAGCTTCTATCTAAGGAGCTAACATCACGCATTGGCATGGGTTCGTATCCCAGCTGCTCTGCTTCTGATCTAGCGTCTTTGGTTTAAGAAGATGATATTTAAATGTAAATGCGTATGTCCTATACTTGGCATTTTTCCTAGAAAAACCAGCTCTAATATGGTGGGGCATGAATGTGTGAACTTGGTTGATGGACTATTAATAAACAGGTAAAAGTGGTTTATAATGCCAGATGTGTCGGCTGTCACAATGCCAAGATACTGTAGAACAGCAAGGTCTGTTATTCTCAATTTTTCAATTCTTTCCTCAAAATCATATTACACATGTTGTACTAAACACAATATAGCCTAGAGTATTATGTCTTCTCTTCTAATGCTATCGAAGTTAATTCCCTGAACATCTTGATTTTAATTACCTCTTCAATGCCCGCTGTTGAACTTTTTACTGAAGTAGGTAATCAGGGAAATTAGATTATAATTTTTATGAATTCCTTTTTTTCTATCTGAGTGTAGAGGTGACTCAAGCATCTTGCACGTTGAATTTTAAACCACTGAGCAGAAGGGTGCTTCTACCCCAACTATATGTTGTTGAAACTCTGGAATAATTCTCATACTCTCTATTACAACTCCACTGTGTGATACTGTGCATATACAGCAAGCATAACGCCCCTCTGCTGGCTGGTCATTCTTAATTTCAAAGCTCATGTTTTCCTTAGTAGCCATATCACACTTCCACTTGTAATTAAATTGGAAAAGACATGATATTTATGTAATGCTCCCAGAGACCACCAAATTTTAAGAAGTATCGATAATATAGTCAACTTGAATTTCATTAACAGTAAAACATGGGGAAAAGTGAAGCTAGTTTGTGTTGCACTGCCCAGTTAAAGCAGCAATTTTGTAAGAATATGGGTTTTTATGTCCACATGAGGGAGCTTAATGGGAAATAAAACTAATCGTATTGATGGATTAATGTGTAAATGCTGAATTGTTAAAAAAGACAAGCACATGTTATTTATTTGAAGAAATAAATTGTTTTGCATTAAACAATTCTCCCATATACAAAATAAAGCTGTGGAATATGCCTTTGGCTACATGGTTATAAGTTATTGACATTACTAAATATCCTTCTGCCAGAGTCTGAGCCTTAAACCTCACCAACAGGTTTTTTTTTTTTTCCCTAAGATTCATTTTCATTTGAAATGAAGACTGGCAGAGTAGACAGAGAAAGATCTTACATCTGCTGGTTCACTCCCCAAATGGTTCTAACAGCTAGAGCTGAGCCGATCCAAAGCTGGGAGCTGGGAGCTTTTTCTGGGTCTCCTATATCAGTGCAGGGGTCCAAGGACCCATGCCATCCTCTGCTACTGTCCAAGGCCATTAACAGGGAGCTGGATGGGAAGTGGAGCAGCTGGGACTCTAACCAGGACCAACGTACAATATGGAATGCCGATGCTTGAAGGTGAAGGAGTAGCCTGTGGGGCCATAGTGCCAGCCCCAACAGGGTTTAAGAGTTAGGATCAGATTATAATCATAATTCAATTTTGCTTCCAGAATGACTGGGTACTTTTCCTACCCTAAAATATTTTCACTGATTCTCTTATGCTTACTGAGTTTTTTTTCCCCCCACCCTCATCACACTGTTGTTATTTAGGCTTATTTTAGCTTTTCAAATTATTTTGTTTTTGTAAGCCCTTTCACAAATTATTCTCTTTTTTATACTTATTTGACTTCTAGTTCCTAAACTATAACAGCTTTTTTAAGTTAAAAAAAATTTGATAACTAAAAATGTCACCCCTTAGCCCTTCACTTTAATTTTTCTACACTTTATTTAATTGTGCTTTTTTTTACTCTTTTTGATTACACTTTAAAAAATTATTTTTATGATTATGCCAATCATAATTGCTTGTTTTGTGACATAGCCACAAACAGAATCTTTAGAACATTTCTGGTCATGTTTTTCAGAAATCATTTGATTTCTGTCACTAGTAGATTGCCTACCTATTCCAATATTAATTCTTCAAAAACCCTTGTTGCATATAACTTTGCAGATATTCTAGCTAACTTCAGTCACATTGAGACCTTTTTGTTGCCTATTTCAAATTCCCAAATTCAGGTTTACTTCCACTGTTATTTATTAGCTTCTCTAGTTGCCTTCAGTATACGCTTCCATGGCCACTGACATTTTTATAGTTGGACATTTACTAAATTGCGAATAGGTCTGTCTTGATTACTGAAGCAGCCACAGCATTTAGCACCGTCTCTGTGGGGAGCTGTGCTGTTGGAACTGATGGAGCAAGGGTGTAACTAGCACCGCTCCTCAGTTAGGAAGGCTACGAGGAGTTTCTGGCTGCGTGGCTAGGCCCGGCAGAATGTCTCTGGTCACCTCATTGCTGCCTCACCCCATTGTATGGATGCTCAATCGCCTCTCTGATATTTCATAGAATTCTCCTGAGGAGGGTGTTGCAGTTTTTCTACAAATGTGAGACTATTCCTGTAACTAGAGTAACACTTCAAACTGATCAATCATGTTATGGTAAAAGCGTCTCTAGCAACGTAAGGCAATGACACACAGCTAAAGTACACAATAGTACAATTGAGCCCACAGTGTCTTCAAACATCCTGTTCTGTGTCCAGCTTGGTCCTGGAGCTTGCCCTAATATAAGTAATGCTTGCCTTAAGAAATGGCTTGATGGTATCTTGGAACAGATGGCAGTCATGGAGGTACATACAGTTTGTTTACCATGCAGCCTCGAACTGTTACAACACATGAATGGACGCATTTTGGTTTCTTACCACGGAAAGCAGAAAGTATAGGGGGAATCTTTTAAGGGTAACAAAATATTGTGACCCCCCCCAAAATGGCTTAAAACTTCTACCATATATTGGCACTCATATTTAGGGAAAGAGAACAGTTTATAAAGATAAAAAGAAGTTTCTTGCAAAAGGCCCTCTGTAGAAAGGCTGGGTTGCCCTGATCCCTTTCACTGCCCTTTAATAAAAGAACAAAAAACAATTGAATCAGTACTAGGTGAAGATAATGGTAATTAATGCATGATTGATTATAAGATTTAATAAAGAATCTATGACATATGCCTTTATAAATCCCTTTCATTTATGAGCTTTCCTTTTTATTCTGCATTCTTGGTAATTTAAACAATGTTAGTTTATGTTTAGTGAAAATTGATTTTCGATATAAGTAAACCACTTGTCGCTGTGTAAGCGTATGTGCTGCCAGTTGTGGACTTCCTGGCTTCAGCCAGGTCACTGCAGGTT